TTTATGACTTGGTTGCAAATGTGGTACACGATGGACCAGCCACACCAGGGGCTGGAACTCATCGAATTTTCGTGCTACAGCGTGGAACTGGCAAATGGTTTGAGATGCAGGATTTGCATGTCCAGGAGATTCTACCACAGATGATTCCACTCAGTGAATCACTTATTCAGGTAACGCTGCTCGCATTTTCTATGTTCCGCCTCGGGCGTAAAAGTTTTATGCATGAAAACTCCACTGTAATCCTTTATTCCGGGTAGCTCTTATTTTTTCGTACAACATCCAAATATTTATTTATTTATTTCAAATGGCGGGCTTTATGACACTTATCATTAGCCCTTTAGCTGACTTCGGGCTTCACAGAGGGAAGGCTCATCAAAGTAGCAGAAAGTCGAGGGGTGGGGACGAGAAGAGCGATTCACAGATGTAAAAGAGGCAGACAGACACAAAGGTAGAGAAAAAGGTAAGGTGGGTACAGTGAAAGGGGTCGAATATGACAACCAGGGGGGTCGTGGTAGTTTGAAGTGAGAAGTCAACTGCCGGTTAATGGACTTTTTTGCCGTATGAGTGTACGTTGCCCAGGGTGCACCACGTGGAGGTAAGTCTATCCCACACCCCTCGTTTGTAAAAATAACGTGGCATATTTAAATGACACTACTGCCATGCTCAATTAAGTTATTTCCAAAAAGTGAGATCTGCATGTCATCTTTATCTTCAGAAGGAGGTTTAGAAGGCACTTTTCTCCCATTATTAGAACAGTGCTGAGTTCAATTTTTGCTTTTCTCTTTTGTTGTAGGTTTGGGCAGTGAACAGGAGCATTCCGAACCCCTTTTACGAGAAGAAGTCGACCAAGAAAGCAACAACGAACGAGGACGAAAAGAAAAAGGAATGAAAGGACCCGAAGGAGAAAACAGAATGTAATTGAAAGTCGCCGTTAATGAATCATATATATATATATGTTTGTGTACAGCCTCGTAATAAAGTTTTTTTCTAACTGCGTTAAAAAATGATTCTTGGAGATTTGAAAGCTGATGAAAGTGGCAACCACTTCTTCAGCACAATTAAGATGCTAGACGAGGGTGGATTTGAAAAAAAATAATGGGTTGCGCGTTTTGGTTCTTATTGATGGGGCTAGCAAATATCTTGGGCTTCCGATTAAGAAAACACCTCCGAAATAAAGGGGTAAAAGAGAGTAGCATTGGGAGAAAAATCCACTAACTTCATGTCATAAGCATTCCAGGTGAAAAGAACTCAATAATCGTCGATGCCTGACCAACAGCGAGTTAGAAGATCACCAACAATGGGAAACCGGTAGCTCCGTGTTTCCCATGATGGGAGAAATAGCTCAATACTCCACCCCTTAGATGGACCTGATCATTTCAAATTCGGCCAAATTCAATTTTCCAAAAATTAAAAATGCTTTAATCCAATACGAAAAATTCCAAGCTTCATAGCATTTAAACAAAGCTTAAGACATTGTAGACATCTTGAAGCTGTTCTCACAGATGGATGGATGCCAATAGATGTTTCGATCCCTGTTTATCGAAACGTGTAGAAAACCGACAAGAGTTTCTGCTTGAAAAGGTGGCGACGCGAATTTCGACAGCGGAGCCCAAGAATACTTTCATTATGCCTAAGCCCATATTCTGAAGGCAAATTCTTAGCACTTACCTCTTTGTAGGCCCTAAATCTCGAATTTCATAAGTTAATAAATTCCCCACTCCCGAAAAAGTGGTTAAAATTGCAGTTTTCAAGTGACATAGCTTCGCAACTACCTTCCAACAGTCAACTTTATGCACAAACTCATTGGCGGGTTGCATGCAGGTACGCATTATCCTGATTGTCAACGTCTTTTCTGATACCTAATCTCCCCCAAATCGTTCAGACCCTGCGAATACTTATTCTAAAACTTCTCCGCAAGTAGCTTCACTTAATTAACTCGGTCAAATGCCGCTAAATCAATCAAATGTGAGAGCAAAGCAGCCTCGACTACTACCCCATACAAACAAAATTGAAGTCCTGTCAACTAAACAGTTAATTCAGATCTTTCCTACTAAGAAGTCAACTATGCAGGATGCATACCTCAATCCGAAACTCAAAACCAACCAGACCACCGACGTCAAACTAACGAATAAAATAATAAAAGCGCAACCTATAAATGTATGTAAAACAACACTTTATTACATTATGTGGAAAGAAAGTGTCTTATTCACTCATTAGTGCGTGGTTTCTTTGCCTCCGGTTCTTCGAATGAAGAAGTTGACGGGAGAAGGGGAGCCTGTACCGGCGGTACCTGCATCATAGATGGTGGTGGAGGTATAAAGGGAGGGTAGCCAGCAGGTGGAGGCATCATCATACCACCAAGGAAAGCAGCCTGTTGCATTTGCTGTGCTGTTGGTTGCGGTGGCGGAGCGGTCATGAATAAAGTCGTTTGAGGAATCTGTTGAGTGGGCAACTGGACACCAATCTTTGCTCTTTCTAACTCCTTCTGTTGTTCAGCCTCAAAATGAGCTCTTACATCCTCGGCAGTAATATAGTCCTTTGCTCTCTTAGCTATCACCTCTGCTGACGATAAATGACCATCCCAGATCAGTTTCTCTGGTTTAGACCCCTGCTCTTTTTCCTCTGCCGTCTTTCCAATTGCTGTCTCTTCAGCGCCCACACCAAAGATATCGGAACGACGTTGAGCTAGCTGCTTCAAGTTACTCTCAATGACTGAGCCTGAGGCGTAAACTTGATCTTGGTCACTTTTCTCACGAATCTCCTTATTCCTCTGTTCAAGCCACTTGTTATCCAACAGACCAACCCGCATGTGCATAGGTACTTGACTTGCTGGAATCTTTTCACCAGTAAATGGTGACACAAACAGGACCTGATTTTTCTGAGCCTCTGCTGCTTCTCTAACAGCAGCAGCGGCTTTTGGATCATAATCATGACGAATGAGTACTTGATCGGCAGTGGGAGGAAGTGGTCGGGAGACTTTAAATGGTTGTTGGGGGGGAGGAGGTGGTGGTGGAATAGGATTAGATGTACCTTCGTCATCAGATAGTTCCATGTCCTCACCTCCTGCTTCGTCATCTTGAATCGCATCTTGGTCAACAAATGGAGCAGCTGGAACACCGATTCCCTTAGTGTGCTGATCCTCATCCAAGTTCTCCTCCTCATCCTCCATGTTATTCAGTTCTGGTGGAAGAGCGTCATAAGAACCAGGAGGTGGTGGGGCATTGTTTGGCATTTCATTTTGCTGTGAAAGCATGTCTCCTCTCTCATCAGCAATAGCTCGAGCACCGACTTCTTCTGGAGTAATAGGCATGGGGAAGGTGCCTGTCTCGTTAGGCTGGAAATCAACCGTCTCAACAACAACGAAATCGTGCCAATCAATTTGAGCGTAAGCAAGACGTTCCTTTTCCTGAGCCTCTTCCTCTTTTCGCCGTTGTCTCTCCTGGTATTTATGCCACTCTACACGATATTTTACCCGATCCAATATTGATTTGGGGTTGTTTAACTCCTCATCCAAACTTGCGATTAAATCTCGAGGGGGAATAAGCACCTTGGTGTATTGTTCGACAAGTTTAGTGAAATAGGAAAACATGTTGTGTTGAGTACGGAGGAAATCGAACTGATAATTACGAGTCTCTCGATTCATAAGATTAACTAGAAATTGTTTACCATTACGAGAAACAAACTGTGCAGTGAGCTTGACAATATCAATATCCTGAGCATTAATGGAAACTGGATCATGAACAAACTCAAATTCAGGTGGGGGATCCTTGGGTATGAAGGTTTCCTTTATGATTTTGGGTGCATCTTGAGCAAGACGAGCAGATGATGGGGGAAAAACTTTCATTCCCAAAGATTCAGTCGCTTTCCCCTCCGTAAAATCCTTAACTTTCTGCTGGTAATAAGCATGATAAGGGTCGGAGGGATTCAGGAAATTAAACTTTGGATTGTTGATTTCATTCTGCCTAATACGAGATTCGAAATCGGGTCCATTTCTAGCGACGAAATTGGCTGTTTTGTCAACGATGTTACGAACTTCAGGAGGAGGGTAAATGATACCAATTTTGGGATTAATTGGCTTATTGCTGCTTTCCACAACTGTCTCAGTCATTGTCATTCAATCTGAAATGAAGAAAGGCAATAATAATAACATTATAATGATTGATAAAGAAGACACTAACTAAAATAGTTCTAATAAAAGCTTATTGGGACGAAAATACCTGATTCTACACGGCGCACTTAATATACAAGTAGTAAGTCCTCTTTAAAAAAGACCAAACAGTATTATGATGTGTAGAAGGGCAATTCAAGTGGCGTCCCCGGAAGATACAGCTAAATAGTTATAATGTAGAATTTACCATTACCATAGTATATCAAGGCTATCACGATCTCTTGCATAAAACTTACTTTTAAGTGTAAGATACAAAGGTGATCTACAAAGGAGCCTTGCCAAAGTTATGGGTGATAGATATTTTATTCATGTCAAACTTTATATTTCTCTGAACTTCTGGTTTATTTCTAACAAGCGTTAATTAAAGGAGTGAATTGGAGAAAAATAAGGGCTAAGACAGCAGCTACAAAACAACCGTTCGAAAAAAATTGCGATAAGTTGGTACTAATTGCTCTTAATATGTAGCAAGAAACATATCAGTATTCGATTTTTGGTTGCATGATGACTAAATCAAGTTCAAAACGACAAATGCCATAATTTCAGGATATATATAACCATGAAAATTATAAAAATCAGTTTAATTAACACCCAACGATATACAATAAAAAACACCTATGAATAAAGTCTAACATTCTTCAAACCACTTCACAAAATTAAAAAGACATCAGGTTAATGGAATAATAAATCTTAAGTGAACATGACGATGGCGACAAATATTAATAAAAAACAAATATCACGAGAATTGACAAAATGACTGTTCACAATTTGTGCACATACTTAGCATAAATAACGCGACAAAGATGGGCCAAATCGAGCTACCGAAAGCAACTATTTCGGCGGCACTGCACCAAAAGCACTGACCAATTGACAGTCTCCATCGATGATGATGTAAATTGATGCATAACATTTCTGATAATCGAATATTTATAAGGAAAAAATATTAAAAATTAACATTTAAATTGAAGTAAAGTCAATATTTCATTTATTTGAACCTTAGAAAAATTGCTTAGAGCGAAAAATAATTTTGTCACTCGAATGTGATTGGTTTAAGTTCAGGCTGTCATTTTAAATTTCTGCAAGTCACATTTTCCTTACTTTAAAGAGTCTTCATGATTTTACAACAGAGCTATTTTTGCTAACAAGCATAGAAGTCTAGAAATGTTTACTTATATGTATTGCTATATTTCTTTATTCGTAGAAGTACCATGTTTCGGAAGCCTCGTCGTGCGCTCAGAGTGCACCGAAAAGATGATCTAGATAAAGATTCCGATGAAGAACAATCAGAATCTTCCAAACAGAATGAACAAGCTCCTCCAGTTATTGCAAAACCTGTAACTAGCAAAGCAACTCTTAGTTTTGGCGATGATCTCGATGGTACGGTCGCTATTTATAATATAATATTTTATAGAAATCAATATGTTCAAAGTTAAACGTCCGGCTCATAGCCGGAAGGTTGTGAAACAACTGAAAGAAGGCAAGAGCTCACTGAAATCATCTGATTCAACTGGTTTAAAGTCGTCAATCCCTGAACGAACGCAATCAGTTAGTTTGCATTAACTTAACCCATTGTTCGATGTAGTATCCAGTCACTCTAGAGGATTCGTCAGGCTCTTCAGATGCTCCTGCTGAAGAAGAAATAATCAAAGTTAAACCGCTTACTAGAGCCTCTTCGGAACAGTTCTCCTCTATGCTTAAACGTAAGTGTTGTAATCTTTGTCAGTTCTAATATATTTATTTCTTTCTCTAATGCAGAGGGTGTCATACCTGATGCTAGTACGATACACATGGTTCGCAAACATCGCCAACAAGCCAAATTTCAACTCCAAGCTGAGGAGGAATCTAATTCACCTCCCCATGTCTCTGGAAACGACGGTCAACGTTTGATTCGGTAGGTATCTTTAGTAATTGTTTTATATTAAATCCTTTGCAAAGGTACCATTTAACGTAAATGAAATTTCATATTCAAGATATTTTTTGACTTTGCTTTTTTTGTAAAAAAAGGAAAACGACAAAAGTGTCAATTCTGAGCGGGAACAACTTTGGGATCAATCGATAGTTGACGGTTTTATCTTTCTTCACTCATTAATGTACAACCGATAAAATCCATCTACTGTTAATTAAGTAGAGCTGCGGTTCCGCTTTTGCGCTTTACCATTTTCCATTTATACCTAAGCTATACTTTTGCTTACTACTTATTTTAGTGAAGATGATGATGACGCTGAGGAGGATGATGGGAGTGGTTTCGGCACAGTTGAAGCCTATCAACACCACCGACCTGCTTTCACTCTCACCGCAGAGTATCGTGACCCCAGCAGCCGTCGTCGCATAGATATCTCTCGTGGCCTTCAACGTCGTCGTGATCTGGAGATGCGCAAGGGTTTGTCAGAGGGGAAACTTCAGGAGCGTCCCACGTTGGTTGATGTGGCAGAGAGAGAGAGCTCTGCTGTTAGAGGTAGCAGTGGTGACGAATCTGAAGACGAAGATGCTGCCACCTGGGAAAGGCAGCAGATCCAAAAGGCCGTCTCTAGCAAGGTATTTAATCCTCTTTTTAACCTTAATGGTAAATGGCACTTAAGTACATGCAGGCTTTTAGTAAATCAGTTAAAGACTCGGTAGAATTAATTTGTGGAATAGAGGTTATCTTACTGGCTTACTAAAGGTGTTTGCCCAAATCAGGTTTTAACCAGTGTCTGAATTGTCTAATCTGTATTTGAATTCTTCTAATAGCAACCCGAATCTCTTCTTTAAAATAAATTGGCTTGTACGTTTTTTTGTGCAACATTGAACATCAGTTTAGGCGAAATAACCTTCAGAGCATAGTTAATGTTTCGCATAGAGTCAGCCCCGTATAGCCAAAACATGAAAGAAATGGAGTCTAAGTACAGTTACTTACCGGTTGAAGTTATTAAGCCTCTTCAGAGAGTCTTTTTAACCTTATCGCGTTTTATAATGTCTAACCCATAATGGTTAGAGATATTCCTAGGTCATACGGCGGGTGTTAAGTGAGTTACAACGAAGAAACTTGAAATAGGCGATATGACGGCATCGTATCACCTCCACTTTATGTTTGTCCCATAATGTAAAGACCTATTTTGGCTTAATGAAATATACAAGGATTGAAAGAGGGACAGTAATTGTACTTTGAATATATTCAAACTGTGGAAGAATGTCCGCTGCAATCATTTCCAAAAGGATGCATGGAAGTAACATTATATGTACTATCGTGGTGTTCTGCCTTTTTAAATTATTTGTTCTGTGACTTTCCAACGGTGCTAAACTGCTTCTTTCAATGGCTTCTCATTCCTTGTCAAATAACACTGCATCTCTCCATGGTAACGACTGATTGTTTATCTTAATAGAATACTGCAGTACTTGAGGCTCTCGAGCCTGCCACAACGAATGAAGGAGGTCTCCTACCAACACCTTCACGTCGATCCTCTGACTTTGGTAATGTGACGCTAGCCTCAGTCAAAGCTATGCTTCAAGAACGGTAAGCTCCTATTGTTATCCCTGAAATTTATTTATTACATTTGCCACTGAACTCTTCCATTACAATGTTAAAATAATGGGACTGAATAATTTTCTCGGTAGTATTTCCAAATATACATGAATTTATATCTCCCAACCTGGTCTTGTTTTAGCTTAGATAAAAAGACCAAAATCCTACGAGAAAATAAGACGGAATTGTTAGCCGCAAGGGAGGACTTAAAACGGGGTGAAGTGACAGTATCTTCAGCGAGATCTAAGCTTCCTCAACTTGCTGAAACACTGAAATTCTACATGGAGATAAGGGAGTATGTTAGAGATCTAATTAACTGCTTCAACGAAAAGGTACCAACTACTTATTATGTATAAGTATGATTTATTATTTGTTGTCATAACTAACTTTTTCGCATAGATGCCCAAAATTGAGTATCTTGATAAGCGAGCGTATATTCTATACCGCGAACGTACTGATACTCTTATGGCCAGACGACGAGCAGACGTCGGAGATTTAGCTGATGAAGTTACTGGTAAGAGATATCTTTATACACCAATTTGTTTGATTTTTTCTCTCAGGTCCTGCGGGTACTGAGAGTACAGTGGATCCGAAGGCACTTGAAGCCCGAAAACGTCGAAAAGTTGATAGGGATGCTCGGTGGTAAATCCTATTGTATTTTGAATGCTTCTTAGTTACTTTTAGTCAATATTAACTCTTTCATTTTTACTACTCCAGTGCAAGACGCCGAAAAATGAAACAAGATGAGGCGTATAAGAAGCGAATTGAAGCGGAAATCGGTGTTTCTTCACCTTGTGAGGGTGTTAGCTCTGATGACGAAGAACAGCAATATGTCATCAAGAAGAGATCAGATGACTTCGGTTAGTTTTGCCTCCTTTTAGATATCTCTTGTTAGTATCTCACAATAATCATGCAATCAAAGGTGAAAAGTATTTGTTAAGATTTAGATTTCCTTTAAGCGTATCGATTTGTGATTCATGATAAAAACTGCTATGGATAAAATCAGCTACTGATTACTGTAAATGAAATGCTTCTTCAAACATCATTAGAGGTTTTTCGTGAAGCTACCAAAATGGAATTCGCTCAGTTCACCATAATACCTTCTTTGGCAGATCCATCTAATAAAATCTGTCATTAACAAGTTTGAGTGCTCTCTCACCTCCCTTCTATTTTTAATTCGTAATAACCAGCTCCTTTCGTCTCTATATTCGCAAATATTAACTCTTACTTCATATTAGAAACTTGAAAAGTGTCAACAGATGAGTATTAGCTGTGAATCCTGGTTTAAATTGTCTAAACATTTTGGATTTAATGATGATGTATTGGTATAATGTCGCCCAATAGCCTTCGAAAAGTGAACTTCTATCGGTTTAAATAAACTTGTTACACACGATTAACACTTCCTATTGATGTCTGGAATTTCCACGGTACTAAGCTACTAGCCTCAAAGGATGGAGTGTTTAAAATTCCTATTTTGCCAAATGTTAGTAGAGAAGAGAAGCAGAGCTCACAAATGAGGTAAAAGGTATTCAAGGGCTTGCTTTATGTCCTAACTGTAAAAAACGTCATCAATTCGAGATAACGCCGTTAAAATAATGTGACACTTCATGTACACACACAAACCACACATCAAGTATAATGTGAAGGGACGTATCACTTTAATTTTCACATTTTAAGATTTTATTAGTGTTAGCCGCCTTCATTGCCCAATACAAGTTTGCCAGGAAACCATCGGTGAAATAAAGGGCGAAGTGCGGCGTGTTTGTATATTCACAAGCACGACATGGGACCTAAAATGTTTTGTACTCCCTTTCAGATGATATTAAGAAGGATGCCGGGTACTTATTTGATGATGTAGTGGAAGAATACTGTACCATCTCCTCAATTCTCCAGCGTTTCAACGAATGGCGTAATCGAGTGGTGAGCAGTTACGCACAAGCCTACATTCCAATGTGCCTTCCATTGCTTCTGGCTCCACTCGTCCGCGTTCAGATGATCTCGTGGAATCCTCTCGAGGTGAGCTTTAATCTGGCTGCTATTTTGCTCAGTTTGAATTTTGTAAAAGGAGATCAAGTGCGCTTTGAGTGTCCTCAAAATAACATTTCGATTCGATTTGAGAGCGTCAACCCTAGCGTCATTTCCACAGTTAGTTAAGCTCTCTTTGACTACTAAAAACTTACCTTCGAGTCCTGTCAAGATAATTGCTATTAATTTGATTTTCTCGGTTCAGACGAAAGTAATTGACGGTAAAAATTGACAGGGAGAGATGCTAAAGATGATGCTTATTATTATATTTACACAGAAGAAAATATAGCTATAATTCTGAGGGCATTACTTAAGGAATGGGTTGTGAGATTTTGTCTATGTGGAAAGCTGTTTAAATGGTGTAAAATAGAACTTAAAGACCAAAGCATAGCATGGTTTACACAATTCAAAACTGTCAAAAAGTGGTCTTTAACTTTTTCGCTTGAACCAATCATTAGAGTACACAAATTTCGGTTGATTTGCGTTAAATGTCCATTTTAAAACAATCTCTCATATGATCATTGTGTTAGTTCTCAACTGTAGCGTCTTTTTATTGAAATTTTTATTATCATTATTGTGCATTTGCCTATGTGTTTTGTCAACTGACTTTCCCGCTATCTTTCTTTAAATTTGGGTGTTCTTTCGTGATTGAATTGTGTAAAGGTATATAGGCATGAAACTGAAAGAACAGTGGACATTGATAGGTTCAGTCTAATTATGGAACCGAATTAATGTGGATCTAATAAAAATACGCCTCTCAATTCCGAGTAGCCCTATCATTTCTTTAAAAAAGGAGCAAATGTGGGAAATTGTTCAGCGACAAACCTGTTAATCTTTCTGCATCCTCATGTGATTTTCTCTAAAGGAAAGTGGTAATACGCTATCATAAGCGTAATTAAGTGCGAATTAGATAGACTGAGTGTTCGTGAATGCGTCCTGGTGCGTTACGAAATAGGGTGCTCCTTTAGCTAAAAGTAGATTTATGAATCGTTAGATCAAGTATTTTTTTCTATAATTTCTAGGCCAACTGTCCGTTCTTCGACCAGTATGGCTGGTTTATGGATTTTTTGGATTACTTTGCGGATCTTAAGCGAGTGGAGGATCTGGAGAATGATGCTTCTGGAGATTCTCAACGCAAAGTTCTCTTCGATTTGGCCAACTCCCCAGAACACGAACTCACTGTCATCCCTCATGTCATTGAGACGGTTCTTCTCCCAAGATTAACTGGTTAGTCTTATGTACAATTCTTGTTTTGTCCTTTTTTGTCAAGTGCAGAATTTTATACGAGGAGTTAATTGCCTTTCAAGCTATAGAGAAATCTTCACTTTCTAGGCCAAAATATTGTACTTCCACTATTTCGCCTAATTAACATTTTCATTAAGAATTATTCTTCAATCACCCTATTGATTCGATCTAAGGAAGTTGACCGTAAGGGGTTGTACACAAATTAATAACTGAGAGAGGAGTGTCATACAGAGTGCCAGGTATACTCCATAGATGGTTGTGTCAATGATGATATTGCGTGAATATTTATAGCAGTACATGATCTTCAATTGACTATTTTTCTCCTCCCACCCCTCCCGTTGTAGAAATTGTATCAGCGTCATGGGATCCGCTATCCTGGAGTCAGACACAACGCCTTGTAAGTGTTGTCCAATCTTTCGCAACTCTTTGGCCCACCGTCTCAGCTGAGAGCAAAGCTACTCAACGACTCTTTGAGGCAGTTCTTCAGAGGATGGAAGCCACGATCCAAGGGGATATTTTCATCCCTCTCTACCCCAAACAGTACGTCCGTGCTTTAATTTCTTTTTTTGCTTCCATACTAATTCCTCCAAAGCTTGTTGAAAAGAATCTACTTCGAACACTCATCTTGGTTTCAAACCATCTCTCAATCCAACTGAACGTTTTGCTGCCACTAACCCATGTTTAAACCTCTGTTCGTAAGATTTCATTCGTGAACAAATAACATTCAATGCCACTATCTCTAATCATCCTGGAAATTAACCTTAAGAAATCACTACTCTTTAGGTGTAATTTTCTTAAATTTTGGAAAGACTAGGGGTAGGCGAATGAAAACGAGGTTGTGTTATGTTGCTCTAAATGATATTAACTGTCCTCCTCTGGTCTAATAAGTTACCTACAGAAATCCTCGGTTGAAAATTGAGCAGTCTAATTGAATAAGTCAGTACGCGCATCTGACAGAATGTTGCAAATGTAGGCGACTTTACGATCCAAATGACAGAGGCACCACTCACTTCAACAAAGCAGACTTGTTAGTCTTATTCATTTGAAATATTAAAATGTCATCACTCACTAGCTCTCAACACTGGAGGTGGAGTTTCTTGGAACTTTAAAGTGGGCTTGAATTGGTATTCCGGCGACTAATAATCTTAAGAGAAAGAGATCAAAATTGATAAACGCATTAACCGAATGTGATGACACAGTTGCCTTGCGATGTTATCATAAGACTAAAGAATTAAATAGAGGTTGAATATTCGAACTTTGTGAGGCAAGGATGTCAGTAATTTTACTTTACATGAATTTTGCAAACATTAAGTCGTCCACTTTCTCAAAGTTTTCGATTTCATACCTCACTCTTCTTTCTGTGATCCCGGATTTCTGGATGAGCTCGTATCCTAGTCAAGTCGCTTGCCTTACCACACTTCGTTTTATTCCATCTTCTATCTTAAAGTCGCAAGTGGATAGATGCACCACTCGAAGGCCTTTTAAACATCACATTGTTCACTAGCGTTTGGCATAGAGAGAAATCGATGAGTGGTCATATTTCTTATTTAATCAACTTTGAATCATTGGTGTGTACTTTGAGTTTTATACTGGTTGATAAAACACTTGTTCAGCTCTCGCGTCGTTTAAAATCAGCTCAATAAATCTTGCTTGGATGTCACGATTTTTTGCCTTTGTAGACTCATGTCAGATTCCCAAATTCCAGCTCGGCAATTCTTCGATCGCCAGATGAATGTCGCCATGAAGGTGCGTCTCTATTCTTCCTTTTGACACATTTATCCACTGAGCAATTAATAGTTAAAGGGATGTTAGAATCTTTTAGGAGGTTATGATCTATCTACCTTCTCAAAGTCTGATTGCTGTAGTTTGAATCTCTTTCGCCCAATCTAACAGGAAGTGATTTTGAGTTGTTTCCTCAGAAAATAACACTTTAAACCTTTAGCAACCCAAAATGATTGTTATGCTTAATGAAGATTGGAATATACTTATATCAAATTGTTGTATTCACTTCTTGAATGACTTTCTGGTGCAACTAGTACCAAAATCGGAAGTATTCGCAGCTTTCAGTCCTTAACATGAAAAATTTCTCTTACGCTGGATTTCCTAGTCCCCGTTTGGTCTATTTATAATCCGCCCGCTTTTCAAAAGGACTTTTACATGCTGAGATCCCTTTGTTCGGTACTCATTTTGCTTGTGTAAATTTGCAGCGATTTGGGGCTAATAATACAGAGCCAGCTATTTTAACTCCTTCGACATCCCTCATACATTCTTTAGGCCCTTAACAAGTGATGACACTACCCCCTCCCTCCCTCCCCCGTCCCCCCCCCCTTCTCCATCAATTAACAAAGAGGTCTAATTAGCCCTTCACATCTTGATTGGTAATGAGTGATTTATACACTCTCTCTCTCACACTTCTCCCTATATTTGGTTTGTTGTTTAACTCTGAGAAGCTATTACTAGATCGGGTTTAGGATGGGGTTAGCTGACTAAATTTACCTTCAAAATCCCCATCTGATGTGTGCATGTTAGATGCCAACAGGGCTGAGAGGTGAACCATATAGAGAATAAAGCGAGGGAAATATAAACCGGAGGCAATTCGGTTGGAGAAATAAGATTACAGTTGAGCAGAGTTTGGAAATAAGACTTCTCCAAAGCTATGTGGATGAATCCCCCACTATTGAGGGAATTAATCAATTGATTTGCTTGAGCAAGAGAGTCTTCACGTAGCTTTTGTGGAGATACCACAATTTTTGTCTACTAATTAAAGAATATGTTTAGGAGTTTATTCCTGAAGGGCTGTCATCCATGCCAGATTATTACATTGCCGAAGACAATTTATCACGCCTTTACCTTTACGTAACACTTCCATTATGTCTGTTTTCAACACTCTTGTATTTATTTATATCAAATGACAGGCTTTATGATAGTTATCGCTAGTCCTTTAGTTAACTTCGTTCTTCACAGAGGGGAGGAGGAACATCAAAGTGATTAAAATGTCGAGAGGGGAATAGGAGAGTGATTCACAGATGTAAAAGAGACAGACAGACAGACACAAAGGTAGTGTAAAAGTTAAGGAGAGTGGTAGAATATGACGTACAGTTTATAGACTTGTTTGTCGTATGTGAATATACGTCGCCCAGGGTGCATCACGTGGAGGTAATTCCATCGTGCTCACCTGTTTTCAGCATATTGGTATTAAGTGCTAGACCGTTTACACTCTTAACAGAAATGGAATGGATTAGATTCCTAATCACACCATTACACAAATATCGAAGTCGTTCAGTTAGTGAAATCAGAGAATTCTTCTTTTGATATACTGTGAAGTATGCATCTCGGCCAAGTGCGATTGTGTATACGTTCGTTTCCATGGATATCTGTCTTCCGTCATTGAGAGTATTTTCTTTCCATTCAATAATTAGCCCATTTTAAAGCCTTGGAATACATCCAGTTGCAAATATAATTGCTAATATTTTCCCTTGACTAAATCAGATTTTCTTTTTTAATTCTTATTACCTTATAAACTATTATAAGTCTCGTTTAACAATGCATATTTCAAGTTGAATTGGGATAATTTTTTTCATAATGACAGACTGGGCCTGTGTTTTCTATCTTCCTTAGTGGAGTTTCGTCTTGTAGAATACTTTTCATAAAATTTCTTGGGCAAAACTTTTCTGTTGAATGTTTTCAATTTCGTTGGAAAGTCGGGCCTTTTATGTTGTTCGATACTTCTCTTTGCCTTCGCAGATGTCTATTTTTTTAATAATAAAATTTTAAAGTACGTTTAGTAGTAAATCAATCGACATAGAATTCTCTCTTTTTTGCTATTTTTGCAGCTTCTTTCCAGTCTTCTGAAATGGCACAATTTGCTTGCTCCTGCAGCGTTGAAACATCTTGTCTTCACATGCCTTGTGAATCGCTACATCCTAATTGGATTGGCCAGCGTCATGGCAACTGCTTCTGATGGCATCACTGTCTCTCTACCAGTGTGGGAGTCTGTAATTAATCGACTGAAAGCCATTGCCATCAATTTGCCTCTTGAATGGCTTACCGACCCCGAAGATATGCAGTTAACCCAACTTCGACGATTCACCAGTCAACTCATTGATCGTCTGAAGTCATACGAGGCCTCTTCCATAAGCACAGAGACTAATGACCATGTGGAATTGAGGTAAGCTTGAGGTTTATTGAAGTTGTAAGGAGTTGATTGCTCTTGGAGAGTGATACGTTAGTGGTGGTGGGGTCAATGTTATTACCACCATCAAACTAGGTCATATAGGGAACAGAATGACTAGACGTTTTGGCTAACACTGGCCAAAGAGAAACGGAAGAGTGTGTCTTTCATGTGGAATCCAAAAGCAATTATTGTTACGATCAGTGGACTACCCCCCCCCCCCCCCCCCCCCCCCCTCCACCCTCCCCCAGACTGAATACCCCCATTTAATCCACCATAACTACATATACTGCGTCAATTGCAACTTTTAGTTGCGGAAATGAACAACTTGGTGACGATGGAATGTTTATAACTCTGACCGCCGTATTATCACAATGCTCTTTTACCAGAGACACAAGAGCCGATAAAGCGCACAACACAAACGGTGACGGGTTATTGACTTAGAATAAAAGTGCGAGTTTGCAAGTAAACTTCAACATTGTTGGTGTTGGATAAATCTTTAACACCTAACAGACCGGTGGGAACCAGATGGAGGAAGTTTAAAACTGGGCTCTTTTTATTGTCTGTGCTTGTCTGTAGGTAGGTAGGTAGGTAGGTCTATCGAATTTGTGACCATTTCGTTGCTTGGTGAATGAATTAATGTTACCTGTAAGTTTTGAAAGGGAGAAGTCAGTGCTTTTCCCTTCATTATATAGTGAATGGCTAACTAATATTGGGCTTTTTACCTCTTTAGACCTGTCTTGAAGAAATTACGACGAATTTACGACCGATTTCACGCCAGAACATCACCAATCTGAAGAAGAATTTTATTTTCCATTTTCTTCTATACATTTCTCCTAAACTCTTCCTGTTGCGTGCATATATAAAGCTCCTCCTTTATTACTATTATTTTTTATACACATTTGGGCTTTGGTGGTGCTGAGTTCGCATTGCATTACAGTTGACCTTTTCCCTTTTTGCTGGGGAATTAAAATACCTTTTTTGCACTAAAGTATCTCACATTTTTGCTTATACAAAATGCGGTGATGGCATCTTCAAAATATTTCAATTCTGGAAAAGGAACATTTCGCGAGATAAATCTTATCCTAAAGATGCCTGTTTTCCTTAATCCCGAAGAATTACTTTAAAACATGCTTTGGGGCTGTCGATGAGGCGTTTATCAAATCGAAACTGGAAAGTTGTTTGTTAAATACCGACGAGATGATAGTTCACCTTAATCTTCAATTTCGACCCCAACTACCACTGAAAATTCTTAATTGCCAACAATTCGCTTAATCACAAACACAATATTCGTTTATTACCATTGATTTTGCTTACCTCAATTGCATTTAATCTACTTTCCATAGGCTCCATATGTGAATTGATCATGATAATATATTTACAAATTTCCTAATTCTAGCATCGAATTTGGATGAGCTGTATGTATTCAAACAACTTTTTATCCCTAAACTTATTTGGAAGATCATCTTATTATAAAATTCTGTAGTTGATTTGCAGCATCATTTGTTCCTTGATTTGTCGTGTTTTTACATAGGAAGCTAATGGCGTCGACTTTAGTTCACATTATATAATAGGCAAAGTAGGTAGATGAGACTTGACAGGGCTTCAGACTTCTTTTCTTCAAAACAGGTGCTTTAGACATTTAAGGGACGATTGTGTCTATGCCCTCCTATTCGAATTATCCTAGAGCACATTTGTACTTCAAGACCAGCATAGGCAACTTTAGAAATATATATTACTGTTACACGCCAAGAGCTGTCTATGGTATTTTGTCATAGCCGAAATCAAACACCAAAATTTCTGCCTCATAGGTTATGCTTAGTGATCTCTACTCGCGTTCCTAAGTCCACTGTAAAACACCCAGCGATCTCCCTAGCCAATTAAGGAGTGCTTACCACCACGCGTCCTAACGTGGTTGTAGAGAGAACCAATAAGGGTCTATGGACAGGATCCGATTTCCTGCATGAAATCCTGGCGGCCTTTGTGGCAAGATGCCTGCTTTCTCTCACTCAGATACACCTTCAATGCCTCTTGTTCTACCTTACGAGATTCTAACTCTTTCATTCTACCTTCATCTAAAATAAGTCCCTACTTAAACGTCCTAAACACGATATACCTCTTCTTCCCTACTCTCACAAATACAAACATGAATCTTTAAATAATTTCTGTGTGTCACTGAACGCTGATCTAGTTGTCATGCCCAATGACACTTATGAGAATTGACTAGCGTCTTCTTCCTCAACACTAATTTTACTGACATCTAACAGTCACTCCCTACATCTCCCCCCCCCCACAACCACCACCACCAAACTCTTAGCAAAGTGTTTCCAACTCTCAATTCGAACATATGGATAGGTTCGTGCAAACTCACTTGTGGATAATTTGAAGTCCATCACTCTCTTTGTCGACCACGTTTAGCCACTATGACTCCCATTCTACTCAGTTGGGCTGGGTCGGTGAACAACCAGCCTGTGACTTCAGACTTGGAAGACTACATCAGAATTTGCCATCCTCCCCAAAATGCTATGTTTTTGACTCACATAGGATCTCTTAATGCTAGGAGTTTCTTAGTTGATGTAAGCCAGTTCATCCAAACAGCTGTGGGTTGTCCGACTCAACTTTAATATGCTTTAAAAGTGCATAAACGATCGGCTAGATAAATTAATGATTGAGAATAAAAAATGATTGTCTCACTGAAGGTTACACTTAAACTTGAGATTTTTCCACATTACTTTAAAAGTTTAAGTTTAAAACACATTAAAAATACATGTCAAGGGTTTAAACAGTTTCGTCTAAGGATTTTTGCTGACCGATAAATATATGGCGAACAACATATTAAGCTTTAAAGTGTACCATGCATAAACAAATCAAATTCTACTATCAAAAGTGAGTCACTCTAACTTATTTTTCACTACTTTACTAACATGTTCCAAAGATATTTGAACAAAGTTTCTATACTAGTGTTAGTTACCATGATAGTTATTTATCGTTTCAGTAGAGAGTAGAGCAAGCATAACATGTGGATGATCACTTTGTGCTACATTTCAACTCTTACTTTTCTGCAATTACATAATATTCCTAAAAACCTTTTATTTCAGTTTTTCACTTTCTTTAATTTACTAATATCATGCACAAAAGATAAGCACATAAATTACGTTTAATATATGTGTGAAACAAATATTTTCCGCTAAATAAAAGCTACTTTAAAGTTATTGAATATAAATACTATTTTACTTTACTTAAAGCGCTGTAACTACGAAATAGTTATAATAGACTATTCCAACATAATGATGTATAAGCCTTACTTTGTTAGACTAAATCAAAACTAATGCATCAATTAGGGCACAATTATAAGCTACTCTATTTATGTTTTGACTAACCGATGACCGAAGATCCATTAATAGTAGCGTTTCGATACAGGTTATCAGAATGGTTTGAAGAACTAGCAACGTATATTACAAATCTACCCTTAACAACAAACTGTTCGTATACAGAAACACATCGGGTAATAGGCCATGGATCATATGGAAGTGTTGTGATTGCTAAAAGGCCGACAGATAATGAATTTGTTGTCATCAAGAGATTTACAAGACCTTTGCGCGTGAATGGCTTGTCAACTGTTAGAGAAATATGTTTCCTAAGCCAATTAAATCACGGAAACATTGTTAGTATTTTGGATATCTGTTTGCGAAATGGTATAATTTTGAAGATTAGTTTAACAGTTTAGGAAGCGGAGCAAATCCCGAGATAAAACTTGTGTTGGAACTATGTCGGTGTGATCTACAAGATTTCATTTATAAAACGAATTATACTGAAGATCATAGTAAAGTAATTATCACACAAATTTGTAGAGGACTTTCATACATTCACAGGTGAGCGTAAAGTTAATCCGCTTGACAAACTTTTCGCACTGAATCATTCCTAATTTCGATAAAGAGGTTGTACCATTACTATTTTAGATGCAGAATCATTCACCGTGACTTGAAACCGCAAAATATTTTAATTGGCTTTGATGGAAAACTTAAAATTGCTGACTTTGGATTATCTCGATTAAAACGGAGGAGAGCAACTAAGACTTATACGCCACATATTGGTACACGAGGATATCAGGCTCCAGAAATTTTTTTGGGTTCTGTAACATATGACGAAAAAGTGGACATTTTCTCATTGGGTGTCATCATCATAACTTTATATACCAAAGCGCAAATATTCGCGGCAAGCAAAAATATCGTCACTTAAACCGTATTTTTTCAGCATTTGGCAACAGTTTTAGTATAACCTTACTACGATTATGTAGAAAAAGGGTGTTTTCAGATACTTAAGAGAGATCCTGTACTACCAGTTTCTTTTCTTATTCATTATGCTCCATTTTTACTCTTTCTGAGTCTTTCCATCCAGACATACTCTTATTTAGTCTATATCGTAAACTAATTCATTTTTACTTCCATAGTATCAAATCTCTGCTAAGGCATACTGTGCTTACTATTTGAAATTAGCAAATGCTTGAAATTTATCACTCATTATTTACCCTTGAATTCGATGTTGACTTCTAGGAATTTAGGATATAGTTTTATCTATTTATCAATAAACTGGCCTTGCGAAAGTTACCTTTACTTTAAAAATTTGAAGAAGTAGAAACAACAAGAGCCAGTACCGAAAGATTTTGATTCTGGCCCTCATTAAACCACTCATTATGTAATCAACTGCTTTTGCCAAGCATATGCTCTTATATGTGTGCAATCTCCATTCTGATTGGTCCATGTACATTTGAGAAGTGCAAATAAACCCCTAGT